CGAGCACAGGAGGGGGCAGGTAGTGGCTGAGGCAAAAGCACGCAGAGTCTGCAGGCAGGCAGGGAAGTACGGGAAGAACAGGAAGAAGAAGGGTAAGAAGTCAAGGGAGGAAGAAGCCAAGAGACGAGGTAAGGAAGAGGAGATCTCCGACAGCTGTCAACAAATATAGTGGCAAAGAACAATATATTCTGTTGCTTGCTAGAATGGGTGTAGAAGGGTGTAGGTTGGGGTTATGCCATTCGGGTGTAGGGGATTCCTTGGGCCAGGGGAATGACGCGAAGTTGTTGGCATGGGGAATTGGGGGCATTGGGAAAAGTGACAAGGCGCCTCGAGGGACAGGAAATCTACATTGACCAGTAAGGGCACAAGGCGACCCGAACCCAACTCAAGGTGATGGCAATTGCCAAAACTCAGAGTGGGAATAAAGTAGCCTAGCCTAGCCAATTGAGCCTGTTCTCTCGCTTTGTTTGCCTCATAGAGTGGATTGAAGTTGCCGGTTTAAGCTAACTCCAGCTAGGTAGCTCTAAGCCACTGTGGGCAGCCATGGGGTGGAAGCACGATTCTCTCAGGGTAGTGGCTGAGGCAAAAGCACGCAGAGTCTGCAGGCAGGCAGGGAAGTACGGGAAGAACAGGAAGAAGAAGGGTAAGAAGTCAAGGGAGGAAGAAGCCAAGAGACGAGGTAAGGAAGAGGAGATCTCCGACACCACCTCTAACAAGCTGCGGGAATCAGCATTCGTATTAACAAGCCTCGTTGTGACATTAACTAGTACCACGTCCAGCTCCAGACGCCGTCTCCAATTTTTATCCAACCAGTTTAGAGGCGTCTCCACTTTCCATTTTCTGACGCCGTAACAAAGTCAATTTGAAGTGCTCTTGAACAAAGTCTTGTGCCATTGGTTCGCATGCCAACTTTTGGGCTCTCAGCTACCTTCCACCTTTGTCACTAGGGTCCCTGTGGACCTAAGCTGACCCAAGTTGACCCCATTTGACCTGTGGATCCGAGCTGACCCGAGTTGGCCCTGTTTGACCCTAGTTGATCCCAGTTTGACCCGCTGTAGACCTGAGCCAACCTCGGCCCCCACTGCCGTCGGACGCGACAGTCGACCGAGGCTCGCCAAAATCACCACTAAGCACTGCTGCCATGACGACACCATCTGCCATGACGTCACCATCCGCCATGACATCACCATCTGCTATGACGTCACCATCTGCCGACGTCACCACCACCTTCAGCAGCAGTAGCAGCAGCATCGGGACCAGTAGCAGCAGCAGCATCAAAAGAAGCAGCGGTGGCGGAGCTCTTAATGATCCGAGCCTCCAGGCCTTACTACCAGCGTCTTGCCCAAACCTCAGCATCGGTAACGCCGCAGCGAATAGCATCTGCCATCAGACTGTGCCGAAGCATCCAAGCCTGAGCCTCGGCAACAGAGCCTGTTCTCAGCAGCAGCAGCAGCAGCAGCAGCAGCAGCAGCAGCAGAAGCGGTTTGCGAACATGGAGGTTCGGTAGGCCATGTGGAATCGAGCAACCGCCGGTGCGCGGCCAGCTAGACGCGCCAGCACATTCTCCTCCTCCTCCTCCTCCTCCTCCTCCTCCTCCTCCTCCTCCTCCTCCTCCTCCTCCTCCTCCTCCTCCTCCTCCTCCTCCTCCTCTCCTTCCCCTTACTCCCGCTCCACTTCCCCTTACCCCCCCTCCACCCACTCCCCGTCCGCTTGCTCCTCCTCCCTTTCCCCCTCCCCTTCCCCCTCCCGCCATCCCTCCCGCCATCCCTCTAGCACATGCTCCTCCCCTGATTCATTGCCGAGTGATGCTGATCAAAAGGTGCACTATTGCTACCGCTGCTGGAGCTACTACCACCACCGTGCCAGTCAGAGTAACTGCTCCTTCTAGGAGCTACACTGTCGCTGCAGCTGCTCTAGCTACTGCAACCACCGCTGTGGCAATCCAAGTGACCGTCCCTGCCAGGAGCTGCGTTATCAACACTGCAGTTGCTGCAGCTACAACCACCACCGTGCCAATCCAAGCGACCGCTCCTGTCAGTTCCACCCCAGAAGACGATCTCGCAGCTTCCCATACAGGCTACTGGAAAAAATACATGTGCACCCTCCCCCAGATGCACCTGCTTCACATGCAGCAGCTGTACCCGTGGTTACCAGTGCTCCTGCCAAGTCACACCTAGGGGGTCCCTCTCAGGTACGCCCTCCTCCAGATGCACCTGCTTTACCTGCAGCGACTGCTGCACCGGCGGTGTCGGGGGGTCCTTCTCTAGTTAGCCTCTATTCAGATACACCTGCTGCATCTGCATCACCTGCATCACATGCTGCACCTGCTGCATCTGCATCACCTGCATCACCTGCAGCACCTGCTGCACCTGCATCAGCTGCTGCAAGTGCTGTATCGGTAGTTACCGCTGCTCCCACCAGGTCACACACCGGGGGTCCTAATCAAGTAAGCCCTTCCTCAGATACACCTGTGTCACCTGCATCACCTGCATCACCTGCTGCACTTGCATCACCTGCTGCACCTGTTGCACCTGCTGCACCTGTATCACCTGCAGCACTTGCTGTGTCGGCGGTTACGGCTGCCCTCTCCAGGTCCCACGCTGGGAATGCTTCTCGAGCAGGCCCTTCAGCTGCCCCCCCTTCTTCATAAGTGGCTTTTCCTGCTTGTGTTACGAACAACAAACGAGCTTACAACATGCGCATCGGTGCAGCACTATCAACACCACCATTGTCAGTCAGCAAAGTTCGTCTTGCCAGCATCAATCTTCCCACCAGCGCCTGTCAAGCTCCCTCTCACCCGATCTCCTGCCACCTGAGTTGCTCCAAGCCCACTGCTGCTTGCACCTCCTTGTTCTTCTCGGTTTTCCAGTGGGCTGCTGCTACCAGGATTGCTGTGCGTACCATGGCCGCTCACTCCAAAAGCTGACAAGCTTGGGGAAGTCTCACTGCTTGATTCTCCTCCTCGCTTTTCCAATGGGCTGCTGCTACCAGGAATGCTGTCCGGTAACATGGCTGTTCACTCCTAAAGCTGATGAGTTCGTGGATGTCCCGCTGCTTGCTTCTCCTCGTCCTCCTCAGTTTTCCAATGGGGGCTGCTGCGACCAATACTACTGTGCGTACCATGGCTGGTCACTCCAAAGGCTGACAAGCTTTGGAAGTCACTTCCTCCTCCCTTGTTTCCAGTAACACGTTTCCAGTAGGGTTGCTGCATGACTTCTCGGCCCAACACAAACTGACTGCAACGTTCGGCATCAGCTGCTGCCAGTGATTTTGTGAAAGATGTGAGGTCATGCAATCTCTGTTTATCTGTGTTCTGCGCTTGTGAGGACTCTCGTCCTTATCATGGCGCTAATCCATGAAGAAGCCGACGACGTGGTGCAGGTCATATTTTCTAGTAGCCGCATTGATTGCACGATGGGAATGTCGTAGGAGGCAAATGTTGTATACGAAGCTAATTGTATAATCTATGAGTGCTAACTGGTCTGTGTTGTGGAGTACTACGTAGGCATAAAAATGCACTCGAAACGAGAATTAGCTGGGCTATGACCTTCTATAGCAGTTTCTGTAAGTTTTCGTATCCACTCCGTAGCGCGCAGAAGAGCGGGGCTGAATAGAACGAGTATCAGTACATGACAGATCACACGTCACGTCCCCTCGACACCATCTGGAGCTGGGAGGCGAGTGGCTGACGGCTCGTCAGGTGGTGGAACCGTGCACCTTCGTTTTTCTAGATGTGGAGGCCTCCATTCGGCCACATCTCACCACGCGGTGTTCCCGATTTCCGGCAGCGGGCTCAGGGTTCCCCCATGTTCGGGTTTCCAGTGTAGCTTACCCCTTAACTTATGGGTTTCCTTGGCAGGCCTTCTCGAGGACCTAGCGAGTTTTAAGTTTGCCCAGATCATAGGGCTGTAGAATGTTATGAGCCAAACATGTGAATAGGCGAGCACTACTCATGGCGAGAATGTTTGTTTGGGTGACGAGGAGCTTTATACGCTCATGGCATGGGTTTCTATAGCTCAAAGCCGTGCGCTACCGCGCATCATTGGGGCACGCGCAGGAGAAAAAGCGAGCCTTGCGGCCAGGGGTCACGCAATCTCCGGTTCGTTAGCCTCCACGAACACGCTCCCTGCTGGCAGCTAAGGAGCGGTGGTGCCGACACCTGGCTGCATTAGATATGGTTTTTGCTAAAATGAAATCAGGCAGGGGTTCCCTTATATCGTCCGAACCGGGACAGGTGTGGAATGTGGTGCACCATCTGACCATACCGTAACATCTGAGAAAGGGCTTTTAGATATTCAACGGCCAAGATGCTCCAGACATTTTCGGAACTACCATCCATACCAGCAAGACATCTTTCTGACGTCCGATGAGAATGAATCGAACGGTCACATTCGACCTACAATTTTGACAGCTCTGCAACGAGCTCTCAAACGTTTGGTTCGGCGGCCAGGTACACAGCACAGAGCAAATTCGGGAAAAGGGGTTTTCTAGAGGCTCGAGAGTCGAGAGAATCAGGGCCGTTTGACTGGAAGGCGAACAGGAAGGGGAGGAAGTCAGCCAGCTTGTTGATAGCGAACCGTTCGGTAACGAGTAAAACCCTTGTTCCTCCTCAGCCCCTGAACAAATCTTCATTGCATTTGCCAGGCGACCACCTCATTCCACCCTCTCTCCAGCCTATTTAGGCATTCCAGATTCCTCATTCTCTTTCCTATCTGCCTGAACACTGGTAGAAGGGTTTTTGCTCTATTGCCTCCACAATCCCCTCCAGCTCTTTTGTTCACAGTGCTCGCGCCTTGTCGCATTCAAGCACTTTGCAGTGGACTCCTGCTAGCTTCCTTCTAGTTGTGTTCGGCGGTTCACACCAGTCTCCTCCATTTTCCTCTACATTAACAGTGAGTGGCATTTTTCGCAGAATGTTAAAGCTGGATTCGTGTTTCCGAAGCACCAGTTAATCTAATCCGTCCCATGTTCTGTTGCTCTATACAGGCGTCGATGACCTTATGATGGATTCCAAAAATTTAAGTAATCGCAGTACAACATCGTCTAAATACAACTCGTCTACCTCTAATCTTTCCTCCCTCCTCGCTATCGCCACGGCTTACGAGCAACCCCTTACCTACACCATCGAGGACGTTCGCCCCTGGGGAGGCATTGACATGTTCCGCTCTGCTGCTTACTCTAACGTACGTCCCATATATTTCATTTAAGAACGTTATTTTTCCGGTTGTCGTCAGGCTGTCTCTAACAATGTTGTTTTCTTCCTGTGTGCAGTGCGTGCGCCGGCCCTCCTGATATACCCTACTAGATATATCGCTGACCAGTCAACTTCAAGATTCGCGTCGTAACAAGCACGGGAGGTTTAGGACTCGGGAAAACGGACTCGGGGGTTGGTAGATACTTGGACTCGGGTTATCGGGGGCTTCTGCACTGCAGAGCAGCGTAGGTCGCGGTAGTGCCACCGTTTAGAAGGTCCCTCTTTGCTCTCACTGTGACATTCGTCACATCTGACAGTACCGTCGGTACTTCTCTTCTCTCGCACTCTTCTGCGTCTCTCCTTTCTCTACCGCTAGCGCTGCTCTGCTACTGTCATGGAGTCCCCACTTAGCCTCCCGTGTCCGGCGTTCGAGGGTTTTGAGAAACGCCTCGACGTGGAGTTCACCTGGAAGAAGGCCATCCTGACTGAGCTCAAGTGTAAGGGTCTCCGTTCCGCCTCTCGCGCGGCTCTGGATGCCATGCTCGACGACGCTCAGTGCACCATTGTATCGAAGATGTCCAACGAGCATCTGGACGCGTATGTTCTCTCCGAGTCGAGCCTCTTCATCTTCCCGACTCGCGCTGTTATCAAGACTTGCGGAACCACCCGCTTGCTCAACGCTATCCCGAAGCTCCTGAAGATTGCTGACGAGGCCGGGCTCGAGCCCGCTCGCTGCCGGTACTCCCGAGGGACGTTCCTGTTTCCCGATGCGCAGCCGTCCCCGCACAGGAGCTTCGACGAGGAGGTTGCGGTGCTCGATGGTCACTTCGGCGGGCTCAAGCACCGCCGTGCGCATGTGATGGGTGACGTGCTCGGAAGCAGGAAGTGGCACGTTTATGTGGCCGGGGAGTTGCCTGCTGCTGTGATTAAGGTTGGTGTCGGTGCGGTTGCTGCTGGTTCGGCGGGTGGTTCGGTCGTGACTGTCGAGGTCTGCATGACCGACCTGGGGCGTGCTGCAACAAAGTATTTCTTTAAGAGCAACGGCTACGGCGATGCGGCGGACGTGACGGCGCAGTCCGGGATCGGCGATCTCGTTCCGCACTCGCGCATTGACGACTTCAACTTCGACCCGTGCGGCTACTCGATGAACGGTCTGGATGGTGAGGTCATATCGACGGTGCACATCACTCCTGAGGATGGGTTCAGCTACGCGAGCTTCGAAGTCATGGGATCTATGGGTGTCGGTGCGAAGGGGCCTCTCTGGCAGGCGACCGGCGGCGATCTCGGCGAGCTCGTCGCCAGGACTGCGCGAACCTTCCTGCCCGGACGCCTGACCGTCGCTGTGCACTCCAGCGAGGTCGCTGCTGAAGGCGCGGTCGGGGGCAAGACATGGACCAACCTGAGCGCGCCACGTGGATACGCCTGCGCCGGTTCCAGCTGCCACATGCTACCCGGCGGCGCGGCCGTGTCGTACGTGTGCTTCGACTCCCTTGAGGTTGCCGGGTGCGGCGGCTCTCTGCGCGGGGATCTGCTGCTGGGCAATCTCCTTCCGTCGTTCGACTCTTTCAGGTCGGAGTCGTCTGATTCCCTCGCGTCCCTCGGCTCCTCCGATGATGTCATTGTGCTGGAAGAGGTTTTGGAGGAGAAGGCGTCGCCGCTTGCTATGTCTCGCGCCGCCTCTGCCGCCGTCTCCGAGACGGAGAAGCTGTATGGTGCCAAGGCGGCTGCCGTCGTTGCCGATCTCGCGCCGTCTCTCATCGGCGCGTCTCCCGCCGCGATCGACGCTCACATTCGCGCGTGCGTGTCCGACGGCCTCGACTCCGCCTTCTACGTCATGGACGCCGGCGTCGCACTCCAGCTGCATGCCACGTGGACGCAGCTGATGCCACGTGTGCAACCCTTCTACGCCGTCAAGTGCAACCCCGACCCGGCGCTCCTCTCCCTGCTCGCATCCGTCGGTGCAGGATTCGATGTGGCCAGTAAAGCCGAAATGGAAATGGTCGCCGCGGCTTGCGGCGGATCCCTCCCGGACCCGTCGCGCATCATCTACGCCAACCCCTGCAAGCTCCCGGCGCACATCCGCTTCGCGGCGGCGGCCGGCGTGAACATGACGACGTTCGACTCGGTCACGGAGCTGCAGAAGCTGCGCCGCTGGAACCCTTCCGCGCAGGCGGTGCTGCGTGTGCGTGTGGACGACCCGGGCGCGCGCTGTCCCATGGGGGTGAAGTACGGCGCGGAGGCGGAGGAGTGCCCGGAGCTGCTGGCGGCGGCGCAGGAGCTTGGCGTGGAGGTGGTGGGCGTGGCGTTCCACGTGGGCAGCGGAGCCAAGGACCCGCGCATCTTTGGAGACGCGATCGCGCTGGCTCGGGACATTTTCAACGTGGCGGAGCAGCTGGGCATGGCGCCGCTGTCGTTGCTGGACATTGGAGGAGGGTTCACGTACGACGGGCTGCAGGATGACGACTACGCGAACAATGCTGCAGCGGAGGATGGTGGTGCCGATGGTGAGATGTCGTTTCTGAAGGCGTGCTACTCCGTGAACGTGGCTCTCGCCAAGTATTTCCCCGAGGAGATGGGCGTGCGTGTTATTGCCGAGCCCGGGCGCTTCTTCGCTGAAGCTCCGTTCACTCTTGCTGCCAAGGTCTTCGGCGTGCGCTCCCGCAACACCACCGCCAACAAGGCGGCAGCTTTTGCTGCCCTCACCAAGCACGCGTCTAGTTCCTCATCTGCGGAAAACGTGTCTGCTGCCGTGCTAAGCGCTGCAGGGAAGGGTGCGGTGATGGAGTACTGGATTGACGATGGCATCTATGGGTCCATGAACTGCCTGCTGTACGACCATGCTGTTATCTCCGCTCGCCCTGTCAAGATGGCTGCTGAGGGACAAGACGCGGCGGAGGAGGGGCAGCTCTGCCAGTCGACGGTGTTTGGGCCGACGTGCGATGGCTTGGACACGATTTTGAGGGATGTGTGGCTGCCGCGCCTCGACCTGGATGACTGGCTGGTGAGTCTTTTGGCCGCATTTTGGTCTCCATGGAATGGTGTGTGGTCGTATGCCTGCCCATATATGTGGGTGTTTCTTTTTGCTTACTGTACCTCTTTCTTTGATTCTGTTTCTTGCAGGTGTTTGCCAAAATGGGTGCCTACACCCAGGCAGCCGGGTCCAGCTTCAATGGCTTTGCCACATCTGACATTGGAACAGTCCGGGTCTTCTCGTCGGCCTTCCCGGAGGGCCTTGCTGAGGCTGCTGCTCGCTTGCACGATCGTGTGGCTGATGCCCTTGCCTCGTCGGACAGTGATGCTGCCAGCTCCTTCTCTGGGAGTGATGAAGAGGAGGGTAGTGACTGGGACAGCAGCTAGAATGCTGCAGGGGGAAGAGTTAATTGTCTCTAGTCTTACTAGGAGGCGTCTTACGAATTTCTTTCTGAATGTGCTGCTGTTGAATTGAACTGCATTTGGACTGGATATTGCCTGAAAAGCTTGAAGAGTGCTTGTACTCGTGGTGTCTTGAATATGTTTTTCCTATATAAAGTGGTGTATGGTTCCTTAACACTAAATCTACTGATTTTATCGACCAGGACCCAATTCCACATTCTGGACCTGGCTCTAGAATACTTACATCGCGATTTGTGATATTGAAGCTGAAATTCTACCGCAATTTGAAATGACGGCGGCGCGGTGAACTAATTTGGAAACAGCTTCTCTCCCAAGCCAATTTCAAGGTTCCTACCCAACCAAACCCGGCACGGTGAAAATACAGGCAGGTTGGCCATAAAGCTGCAAATACGACTGAGGACCCGCCCTGACAGCTCTCGAAGACTCGTCGCAACACGTCCTGCTTCTTGTTATGAGTTGTATGAAAGAAGAGTGCGCAGAATGCAATATCGCGGAAGTGATTACAACTACTGAGCAAACATCGGGGCCTAGGCATAATATACCGTAATACCCCGGATAGAAGCGCATCTGCGCTTATAATAAAACAGTGTTTTTTAGGGGGGTGCGCTTATAAATGAGTCAAAATTATAAGCGCATGCGCTTATATAATAACAAACACAGAAATATGTTATAAACGCACCAAACTGTGCATTTCATTCAAATCGAAATGTGTGGAGCGTTCTAAATCAGAATCTCGCGAGGGCGATTCTCTGCTGGCGCACAAGGGCAAGGACACGTCACTTTCGCATAGGAATGTGTCATGCTCGCCCCATCAGAGTGTACGAACCAATAGCTTGCAGTCGCTCGTTCGCATCGCACAGGCTTGCCCCAGTATACGACCAGTAGCCTGCAGTCGCTCGCTCGCAGCGCACAGACAACAGGTGTTCCCGAGCCCCCCTGTCAGGTCAACTTCGCGCTGTTGCGCTTTTCCTGAGCGAGCCCGCCCTCGAGGGAGTCAAACAGAGTAGAAGTGGATGTGGACTCGCTTCAAAACGGGAAGTCGTTACTGTTATAATCCGTTTTTTTGAAATATGTTTATACATGCGCTTATAATAAATCAGGGTTTTATAAGGGGTGCGCTTATAATTGAGGATCGGCCATAAGCGCATTGCTCCAGATACAAGCGCATGCGCTTAACATAGGCCTGCGCTTCTATCCGGGGCCATACGGTAGCAAGGCTAGCTAAGCCCGAGGTCGCGAAGTCGTGCGAGGGTTGGGTGTAGGTTTGGGTTTGGAAAACCCGAAGGCGACGCGGAGGACGTTCGGGAGGCGAGGTCGTCGGACCGAGCCTGAACTCCGAAAAGTTGGAAATGTACGCGTAAGCGGTGCCTCAGTAAGGAATTAGCAAAATTCCTTACACTACCCCCCCCCTTCAAGAAAGGTGGTCAATATCAGGCACGTGTCGGCGAGAAAGATACCGTATACTCCCGGACAAAACACCCCCCCATAATTGTACACCCCCGGGTAGCTTGTGCGGGGTGGGTGTTATGATAGACCTCGTTTCTACTATACCCCCCTTTTTGGCTGATTTTCTATAACACCCCCCTTTTCTTACATATTCATTATTATAATCGTTAACGAGTAGCTGCAATACGGAAGAATATCGTGTGAATTTCTCCCTCAAGGAAATTTCGCGGTACATCCAAAGGCAATCTGCCGAGATTTGCCCCCTCCCACTATTTCTCTGTTGCCACGTGCAGGTGAATCGTCCGTTGCAAGTGGCAAGAGAGGTGCCACATGGCATTTTCGTGAGGGCGATGAAGTTCGAGGCCGAAACTCACATTCGCGCCTCAAGCAGTGATGCTAAAAGGACCAGCAAAACAACCACATTGACTAATTAAAAAAACACTAACACTAAAATATGCCATATGTAAAGACCCGGGTATTATGCATTTTTTTCCTATGAGGAGACCCCCCCCATTTTTTCCCTGTATTTTTAGCTATACCCTAGGGTGTTATGTCCGGGAGAATACGGTACTGCCGGAGTACCGAGTGCCCTTGTAGTGAGTCAGCCGGGACCCACGTGTCGTCGTCACTTGTGCGATCCACCCATCGCAGTAGAAAATCGACGTGGCGGCCGGCTGGGGTCGCACGAATGCGATGATTTAATATCTTCCAGGGTTGGAGCGTGGGATCTGCTACCGGTCGGACACTTGGCGCCTGGTGGGGTCGAGCGACGTCGGAGGACTGGGGTGCCACGTAGTGGCGAAGTAAACTGACGTGGAAGGCGTCGTGGATATGCCAGTCGTCCGGGAGGAGAAGTTTCGCAGTGACCGGTGTCAGCATTCGAATGATGCGGAAAGGTCCCACGTATCGAGGACGCAGTTTTGCGGGTTGGGGCAGTCTGAGGTTTTTGGTGTCCAGGAGAACCATCTGCCCCTCGCGGAAGGGTAAATTTCGTCGGTGTTGGTCAGCGTAGCGGCTGGCGGTCGAATTCGCTTTTCGGATAAAGTCAGCTGCTTTGGCACGCGCGTCCTGGAGTTCTGAAATAAACTGCTGTGACCTGGGGACCGGGTTGTCGGGAGTTGTCGATGAGGGTACCACCGGGTCTATCCCGTAATTCAGGTAGAAGGGTGATTGCTTGGTCGTTGCAGATGGGGCGTTATTGTACGCAAACTCGAGCATGGGAAGGTAATCTTCCCACTTGGTGATGTCCGGGCAGTTCGTGCGAAGCAGCTGCTCCATCGTTTGGTTTGTCCTCTCCGTCTGTCCGTCGGTTTGCGGGTGGTAGGACGACGAAAATTGCAGGCGGGTGCCGTACTGTGCCCATGTCTCCTGCCAGAATTTCGACGTGAATTTCGGATCTCGATCGCTGATGATCGCCGAAGGTAACCCGTGGAGGCGTACGACGGTCGAGATGAAGAGTCGCGCTGTTTCTTCGGCTGTGATCGTTGTACGGCAGGGCGCGAAATGCGCCATTTTCGTTAAGCGATCAACGACGACGAGCACGGAGTCGTTGTCACTTGCGCCAGCTGGAAGGCCCGTGACGAAATCCATAGTCACCTGTTGCCACGGTCGTTCGGGTGGCTCGAGGGGCTGCAGCAAGCCAGCTGGTCGTTGTCGTGATGACTTCATTGCCTGGCAGGTCGGGCAGGCGGACACATAGCGCTGCACGTCCGACGCCATGTCGGGCCAGTAGTAGTTCCGCTACAGCAGCTTCAATGTTTTGTCGACGCCGAAATGCCCGGAGAGGTTGGAGTCGTGTACTTCTTGCGTCAGTAATTCGCGTAAGGGTCGGTAGGAAGGTACCCAAACTCGGTTAGTACCGACTTTTAGGTAGTAACTTCCATGCGGTGTAGTGACCCCGCGGTGTTGATTGGTCCTGAAAAATCTGTCGATCCTGTAGCCGTGCTTGAATAATCCTGCCAATAAAGGGTTGGAATGGGCGATTAGTACTGCTGCGGTCTGCATGGATGGGCGGGTCAGAGCGTCGGCGATGTTGTTGGCGCCCTTTTTATATGTGATGGTGTAGCGGAAATTTGATTCGAGGTAGTCGAGCCACCGGATTTGTCGTGGGTTGAGCTGTGGTTGGCTGCGCATGTACTGTAGTGACTTGTGGTCAGTTCGGATTGTGACATCCGCTCCCGTGAGGTAGCATCGCCATGTTCGAAACGCATGCACGATGGCGAGCATTTCCTTGTCGTGAACCGGGTAGTTGCGCTCGGGCGGCTGCATTTTTCTCGACTCGTACGCGATGGGTTGCAGTCCGTTGCCGAAGTCCTGTAATAGCACAGCGCCAATAGCGAAATCGCTGGCGTCCGTCACGACTTCGAACGGTCGAGATGGATCTGCCAGTCGAAGCACCGGGGGTGAACTCAAAATTTTCTTCAGCTCGTTGAAAGCCAGCTGTTCTCTCTCCCCCCAAAAAAACTGCACGCCCTTATGCAGGAGATCGGTTAACGGCCTGGTTACCCCCGCCATATTGGGTACAAAACGGCGGACGTAGTTAACGAAGCCGAGGAAACTCTGCAACTCAGTGATGTTCGTTGGCGGCTTCCACTCCAGAATCGCTTTTACTTTTTGAGGGTCGATTTTAATGCCTTCCCCAGAGACAACGTGCCCCAGAAACTCCAGCTCCGACCGTAAGAACTCGCACTTAGAGCCCTTCGTAATCAGCCGGTTCTGCTGCAAGCGTCGGAACACTTCGTCTAAGTCCTGTAAATGCTGCTCCCGAGTCTCGCTGTACACCAGGATGTCGTCCAGGTAAACAATAACTTTTTTATCCAACATGTCCCGAAACACTCCATTCATAGTGAGCTGGAAAGTCGAGGGTGCGTTCGTCAGCCCGAACGGCATCACGGTGTACTCATAACTGCCGTAGCGGGTGCGGAATGCGGTCTTCGGGCAGTCGTCGGCGAACACACGAATTTGATGGTAGCCACCTCGCAAATCGATTTTCGAGAAGAAACGAGCCCCGCGAAGTTGATCCAGCAGGTCGTCTGCTCGTGGGATCGGGTAACGCGACTTGATTGTGACCCGATTCAACGCTCGATAGTCGATGCACATGCGCAGGCCTCCGTCCTTCTTCGGTGTGAATAGTATCGGGGCGGCGTACGGCGACGTGCTCGGCCGGATAAAACCCATAGAAAGCAGATAATCCAGCTGTTTCTGCAATTCGTCGAGCTCCGGTTGGCTGAGCCGCCATTGGGACCGAACGGTTGGTTTCGCGCCTGGTTCCAGCTCAATCCTGTGGTCTTCCGGACGCTGAGGTGGCAGCCCATCAGGTAGGTCATCTGCGAATATTTCGGGGTACCTCCGAATTATGCTCGCCACGTCGTCGGGTACAGCAGCGCAGAGTGTGTCGATGTCGGCGATTTTTTCGGAAGCCACCACCTCGTACAGCTGTACGGCGTAGCCTTGCGCTCCCCGTTTTATCGCCCTCTTCAGCATTATCGCGTTGACACGTGTTGTCGTCGGCTCTAGCTCCGCCCATTTCGGAAGTGTCACGCGCCCCTTGTTGCACAGCACCGTGATCGCTCCCGTCGTCCAGTCGATGGTCGGATTGAAACGCTGCAGCCAATCCCTTCCGAGCAGCACATCGCAACCGTCCAGTGTTGTCGCCAGCATTTGCATGGAGAACCCGAAATCGTCGCCACACTTCATCCGAATTTGTCGGACCTCGTCCTTGATCGCCAACGGTGTTCCGTCCACCAATCGCGCATCAATCTCTGGTAGACACCTGTCCAGCTTGACTCCGATTTTTTTGGCCGTCGCCAGGTTGACGAGACTGTGGCTCGCCCCACCGTCGACGAATAATTTTATTTTGTGCTCGTTAACCCTCCCCACGACCAGCACAGGGTGATCCACGTGTTCATCCACCTTATTCGTCCAGTTGCGGTCGATAGCCCGTATCGGTACCACTACTCGGTGTGGATGTTGATTGCCGGGCGACGGGGTCTCGTCAGTAGGTGGCCCGACTGCTACTGACTCGTTTCTTTTCCCGACCCCTCTCCGTCGTTCCTGTTTCCCTGTTTCAGCTTCGGGCAGTCCTTCTTCCAGTGGCCCGGTTGGTTGCAGTTGAAGCAGTTGTTGTTTCCCCGCCTCGGTGCATCCACCCCGTTGATTGTGGGCTGGTGCGGCGGTCCACGAAATTGAGTGCCCTCCCGGGAACTCATTCTCGCCCATTGCATCAGCGCATCCGTCGTTTCGGCCACTTGGACGGCTTCGATAAATACGCGTGGCCTCGCCCGTCGCACCTCGTATTGTACGTCGTACTTGAGGCCTGCGACGTATCGGTCGAGTCGTTCCGCGTCGCTCATATCGTCCACTTGGTCAGCCAAATTGCAGAATGTCGCCGTGTAATCTTGGACCGACGCCACCTGCTTCCAGGTACGCAGCTTCATGCGAGCAGAATCCGAGGCGGATACATGCTCGAATCTGCTTCGCAGCGCGGCGCCCCACTCCGTCCATGTGCGTATCGTGGCCACTCCGAAGATTGAAGTTGCCTGTTGCGTGACAGCTGCCCAGGTCCCGTCGTTCGCACGTGATATCCCTGCCGGAGCCCCCTCTGGCTGAAGAGTCCGCTTCCACCATTCCAACGCCGGTCCTCGCAATAGTGACACTGCAAAATTAATGCGGGTAGCATCGTCAGCAATTTGCGCAGCATTGAAAAACACCTCTACACCGAACAACCAAGCTGACACAGTGACGGCTTTGTCGCTGGGGTTGAACGGGGGCGGGTTCGTCGGTTTTATTTTAACAGTTGTTGAGCCTGTTGCTGCTGCATGCATCGGGGGCGCCATTGAAGCCATCACCGGGGTTGTCGCTGGTGCCTGTCGTGGCGTCGTCTGCGACTGTTGCCTCGGCTGTGACTGTTGCTCCTGCGTCCCTTGTGCTCGTTGCGTTCGTGCTGTCCGCTCGTCTTCAGCGTCCAGCGAGTTCTGTAGCTCGCTGAGGACCTCGTCGTTAGGCACGAAACTGCTTCCTGCTTCATCCACGGCGGGCGACTCCTGACGCGCTTCACCTCGCGTCTGGCGTAGCTCGGCGTTTTCCTCCCTCAGGCGCTCCAACTCGCCAGACATAGTCTGCATGTTGGCCTGCAGCGCCCGAAACTGTTGCATGAGCTCGTTTAACTCCGCCTGGTCCATGTGTCGCAGGCTTCGTCTAACGGGCAGGGGGTTAACAACGATTTTTCTGGTTTTGATGAAGGCGCAAACGCTATTAGTCGGAGTGAGATAATCGTATCTATCTCTCAGCCGACCGCTTTGCAGCCCACCAAACCTATCGCACCCCCGTACTAAAACTACCCCGGAAAGTGGAGGGTAACCTAGGAAAGTAGCTCTGATACCAGGTGTTATGAGTTGTATGAAAGAAGAGTGCGCAGAATGCAATATCACGGAAGTGATTACAACTACTGAGCAAACATCGGGGCCTAGGCATAACATAGCAAGGCTAGCTAAGCCCGAGGTCGCGAAGTCGTGCGAGGGTTGGGTGTAGGTTTGGGTTTGGAAAACCCGAAGGCGACGCGGAGGACGTTCGGGAGGCGAGGTCGTCGGACCGAGCCTGAACTCCGAAAAGTTGGAAATGTACGCGTAAGCGGTGCCTCAGTAAGGAATTAGCAAAATTCCTTACACTTCTGGCTTTTGACCGAAATACGTTTTTCGCAAAGGCGATGCCATACAAGACGACTCTCTTCGCTCCAGCCAACTTTCGTATGCTTCATTTTGCCTGCCTGATCCGTACGTACACCCCTCGATCCCAACAAATTATCGTCGCACGATTCGCACGCCTCCCACGAAACGCACAACACAGTTTCAACTTTCAACCTCCAGCCATCCCCCGCGCTGACTCGGCTGTCCAGATAAGTCTCCCTCACTCCTCCGTCCATCTCAACTAAGCACACTACCGACCACTCGAGCCGCCTTCAAACCGCCTCCACTTCCAACCAACCCACGAGTTCGTTGCAGTTGGTTGGTTATGGCTTATGCACGGATTCTACGCCGAGTCAGTCTGCGGGAGTTATTCGTCGCCGAGGTGTTGTTTCGACTCAACTGTCGCCTCGAAGATCGCCTCGAAGATCGCCAGCGAGTGTGAGGCTCCATGCTAATACGTGTACGACGTGAATGAGAGGTTCCAGGGCGGATTGCCCGTTCCAGTCCTGGTAGTCCCACTATAAAACCTTCTATCCCTCCCGCCGACACGGCATTCGAGGGCGACACCGTGACGAGCAACCTGGCTGCTGCAGCCCTTGACTCGACTCTTTTTTTTTGCTGCGCGCTGCCACGGCGTCGCGAATCCCGGCAGATAGGAAACGCGAACGATGATTGAGTGGCGATCTACGAGGATCATTACTGATCTGCCTCTGGCAGACGTGGATCGCGTCGCAAACTCATCCTCCTCCTACTAGTACGAATTTCGTTCCAGTAGAACGCTGCTGATCCCCCACCTCGTTACTACATAACCCACTACTACAATCGTCTGAGGCATCAGAACTTCGTGGGCGACGGCGACGACGGCTGCGACGTGGAAGGCGGCGACGACGGCGATGGGGATGAGCAGGGCGACGACGAATACCAAGAGCTCGATGTATCGTCTCACGCTATGCCTATTAATGCTGTCGCCTCTGCTCTCTAGCAATTCGCCAACAGCAGTTGCTGATACAATCGCGCCAATTTCCGCCGCCCAGACAGTCGAGCCGACCGCTGCCGCCCAGACAGTCGGGCCGACCGCTGCCGCCCGGACAGTCGGGCCGACCACAGCCGGCCAAACCGGAGCAGCTTCCGGCTCGGCTCAAATAAGCGCTTCGGCGGCGCGTCGCGAGATCGAGGCGCGCGACCTTAAGGAGAACGCGCGCGCGAAGAGCATCAGGAATTTCCGTCAGTACCTGCTCGCGCTGCTCACGGGACTGCCGCCGCCAGTGCCGCCGTTGCAAGCGGAGAGGCCGCGGCTGATCCTGCTTCCAGACAACGCGATGGGAGCGAGATGTCTCGACGGCAGGTATGGTGAAGCGGAAGGCGGAAGGGGGAAGGGGGAGGGGGAAGAGGGTGGGGGGAAAGGGGGAAGGGGGGGAGGAGGGGGACTTCCAGGGCGTGGTGGTGGTGGTGGTTGCTTCGAGTGAGGCCGGCGAGAGTATGTGGTATAGTGCACTATGAATGCTCATGGTGCCACCCCCTCGTCTCCCCTCCCCATCCTTTTTTCTGCCCCTCTCCTTCCCCTCCCCCTCCCCTCTCCGCCCTCACCCACACTCCCATCCCCCACCACACTCACCATCCCCACCCCCCAACACACCCTCCTCCCGCACCCCAGCCCCCCAGGGTACTATTTCCGGGCGGGCGCGGGGGGCGGCAAGAACATGTGGCACATCTATTTGCCGGGCGGCGCGTGGTGTGGCACTGCCGCCCAGTGCGTGGCGAGGAGCAAGACGTGGCTGGGCAGCAGCACGTTCTACCCTGACGACCCTGACAGTAAGGTGTGCACATGCATATGTGTATGTGTGTGTGTGTGTGTGTGTGGGTGTGTGTGTGTGTGTGTGGGTGTGGGTGTGGGTGTGTGGGTGTGTGTGTGTGTGGGTGTGGGTGTGTGTGTGTGTGTGTGGGTGTGTGTGTGTGTGTGTGTGCACATTTACGTGTGTATGTGAAGTGCGTGCGTGGCGAGGAGCAAGACGTGGCTGGGCAGCAGCACGGTCTACCCTGACGACCGTGACAGTAAGGATTGTGTGTGTGTGGTGTGTTTTATTGTATTTGTGTGTGAGCGGGTATGCCTGTGCATGTGTCTCTGTGTGTCTGTGCATGTGAGTCTGTGTGTCTGTGCATGTGAGTCTGTGTGTCTGTGCATGTGAGTCTGTGTGTCTGTGCATGTGAGTCTGTGTGTCTGTGCATGTGAGTCTGTGTGTCTGTGCATGTCCCTGGGAGAGGACGCGTAGTTACCCCTACCCACACACCTTTCGTCATCCCTGTTCGAGCTTCCCTTTACCCTCCGCCCAACCCCTCAGGTCATCCGCCCCCCTTTCACGGGCATTCTGAGCAGCAACAGCAGCGTCAACCCGGCCTTTTACAACTGGAACCTCGTCCGCCCCATCTACTGCGACGGTGGGGGGTTTGCAGGGACGACTGGCAGGGTGGAGGTGGGAGGGGGGAGAGCCGTGTACCTGGATGGGTGGAATATCCTTCGGGCTATCATGGATGGTGAGTGGTGGGCAAGAGATGGGGGAAGTTGCACTAGGGAAGGGTGAATGTGAGGGGTTGCAATGAAGGAAGCGGGGTTTCCAAGGGTGGAGGTGGAGGGGGGAAGGCAGTGTACCTGGATGGGTGGAATATCGTTCAAGCTATCATGGAGGGTTGGTTCGAGTTTTTTTTTTTTTTTTTTTTGCTCCTCAAAAGTGCTATGTATTCGCTTCTCATCACCGTTCGTCCCTGTTCCATCCCAAACGCAATCAGATCTGAAATGGAATCGGGGGTTTAAATCTGCATCGCAGATTCTCCTGTCGGGCAGCTCAGCGGGCGGCCAAGCAGTCGTGGCTCTCTGCGATCGCATCGCTGCCGCCTTCCCCTGGGCGCCAACCAAATGCATCTCCGATTCAGGCTTCTTTATCGGTGAGCCTTCACTGGTGAGGACTCACTTCACCGCACCGCACCACATCTCACTGCATCTCACCGCACCCCACCCACTACTCTTTCAGACTCCATGGATCGCACGGTATTTCACATGGCGCAACTGTGCCAAGAGCATGGTGGACATGCATCAGCCCAAGTGGATCTGTGTGCATCTCACAGCATTTCATTTCATCCCACCTCACCGCATCTCACCGCATCTCACCCACTACCATTCCAGACTCCAAGGATCGCACGGGGGGCTTCACATGGCGAACCTACGCCACGAGCGTGGTGGACATGCATCAGCCCAAGTGGTCGTGTATGGATGGTGAGATTCAAAACCGCACTGCACCGCACTGCACCCCACTGCACCAGCCCAAGTGGCGCAATGCACCACGACGCACCCCCCTCTCACCACCCTCCCCCTCACCCCCCCTTTCCCTTGTATGGTGTGTCAATACTTAACTTTCTCATGACATCTTTGCACAATTCCTTGCTTGTCATAACTTCTCCCACCTTCCGCGTCTTCTCTCCTTGTCCTCCCCTTCATTCCCTCTCTTCCACACACACCCCATTACCTCCCAGGTCTCCCAAAGAGTGACCGATGGAAGTGTTTTTTCCCGCACTACACTCTTTCAAGTGTCACCACCCCTATATTCATCTTCCAAAATTTCTTCGACGTGGTAGCGTCTCAAATCGGCGGGCTGTTACCTTGGAACAACAGCTACAACAGCAAGTGTTTGGGCGAGATACTGAGGAAGAGAAAGGGCGTTACACCAACGATTGAGAAAAAAGAGTGGAGCAACATGGTATGGAGGACAAATTACTGCACTCCTATGGAAAGGACTGCCTTATTTACAACTGATTCGATAATATACGAGGAGCTTGATAAAGCGGTGGGGAGTGTAGGCACAATAGCCGCTTATGTTCCGACCGCAGCATGGCATGGAGCGATTTTCATGAATACGTGGACAGAACCATGGGTTCGTGGAGCATCATTACAAAACTCTATTGTGGAGTGGTTTGCTGATGTTTTAGTTGAAAGATTTGTACACATGTAAAATATTGTGTTTTTCTATCTCTCATGGTATTGTGTTTTTCTATCTCTCATGGTAAATGACATTTCCTTCCCACCATACGAATTAAGAAATGTTTCCGTATGGTGAGAAATGTAATTTCTTCGTTTGGCCACTCTATAGAAGTCAATTGCTTGGAATAACACACACTGTGGCCATTTTACATGAACGTGAGCTCTTGTACCACAGCCCAGCAGCATCCAAATTTATTAGCGGGTTACGTTCTAAGCAGGGCATCTGTTCGTAGGGCGTTTCACGTCAGCAATACATGTACCAAATTTGGGGATTCACTTGGCAAACCACGTGAACGACAACGCAATGCTGTAGCACTGTTTTCGCACACTGCATGTGATGGTCGTGGATGCCTGGACGAGTTCGCGGTGTAACAAATGGCACGAAACATAGAGTCGTGTTACTGACGTCATAGCATGCTGAACTCGTGTTTGACTTGCTGGACAATTCAAAAACAAAAACCACCCAATCAATAGCCAAGAACAATTTGGGAAGAACATTGAATTGCTATTCATTTTTTCAAAACATATAAATCCAAAGGCAGGCTGTGATATGGGCGTCTCACTTTTATGCTATAGCGGGCAGGTTGGGACTTCTACGGTGATACGGTGACTGAACCCAAGCTGACTAATCAAGCAAGCAGTCGTAAGCTGTGATTCCATCCAGACTTGCAGGCAGCATGTAAGGGTGAGTCGGCACGGCACGATGCAAGCTGGATCTTGGTCCTGCTCTTGGCTTGCACCATGAGGGCAGCGCGGCAGCGTCCTCTAAGTGAGTCAGCAAACGCAGGCTGCCAATGGCAGCACATCCCCGCGAGGAAGCGGCGGCGAATCGTGAGAAGCCATTCTTCCGACGCAATCGGAAGTGGTGGTGAATTGAAAGCGAGTGATACGCGCTTCTTGGAGCGCTTATGTGCTTACGATGATTATGCTAGAACCGGCGCTGGTAGCGTGGAGATACTGCAGTGAGACTTCAGACGACGACGGGAGCGGCGGCGGCGGCGACGACGACGATGATATCGATGGCGAAGACGGTGACGACAGCTATTAAGACGACGACGGCGACAAAGGCGACGGCAAGGGCGATAACGACGAGGGCGACTGCGACGATGAAAGCTACGCTGATTTCTCGTTTCCTGCTGTGCCTATCACTGCTATCGCCGCTACTGTCTCGTAAATCGCCAACTGCGGCGGCCGAGTCAGCGCGAATCGCAGCCTCCCAAGCAGTTGTGCCAGCTGCGGCCGCAGGAAAAGTTCTGCCAATTCCAGTTGCAACTTCTCTAACGTATCACCTAGTCTGCAGCTCCCTAGTTCCTAGTCGACAAACTAAGCTAAGCGCAACCTACGCTAGCTAGCAGGTGTCGAGGGAATTGTGTGCAGGGAAGCTAGAGTGGTTGGGTTGGGTGACATTTGTAACCAACTACCACTAAAGGACAAACCTGGTTGGAAAACGTTCCAACCCTCACATTGGTTGGAATTTCAACCAACCAGAAATTGTGCAGCCAAATTGTTACAACCTATCTTGCAATCGTGTGCAGGTGCTCAATGTTCATTGGTTTACAATATTTCTTTGCCACCTAAGCAACCCCACCTTAGGGCGTGTTCCTACGGCCCCTTATCAGCCGACCTCTTGTCATACTTGTGCGGTTCCATGCGTTTCAGTGCGATCGAATGTTATTACATGTGTTCCAGTGCGTTGCGACGCGAATCTGACAAGAGGTTCGCCTGATAAGGGGCCGTAGGAACACGCCCTTAGGAGCTCCTCCACCTTGTGGCCATGGAGGAGGAGAAGCTCCCCAAGGAGGTATTGGAAGGGGTCTGAGCCAAGAGCTCATTCTTCCCATTCCAACTTCCAACAAACTCAATATTGGAAATGGGATTTTGTCTGAGTCTCCTCTTTTCTCCTCACAACTCTAGCAAGCCTAGCTCCCACACGTGACAAGCTCTTCAACCAAGGCTCACTTGGCTGAAACTCTACTTCTACTTCTACCAAGCCTCTACTCAAGAAGCTCCGCGCCATCCACATAGTGGTTACTATTACGTGGAGTATTTCTTGTAGTTTCAAAATCTTGTATTGCAACTTTATAAACTCTGTTGTTTTAAGCCTGCAGCCCGTTGGTTATAAGGGCAAGGCTTTACATTGGTATCAAGAGCTGAGGTTGATCCTTACCCTTGTGTGGATTGATCTTTGGATGATTTTTTATAGATTTCTTCTCTTTGAGCCAAGGGCTCTAGATAGCTTTTAAAGCATATTGGAGAGAAGATATCAAGACTTGAAGAGTTGAAGACTACAAGTTCTTCAAGCTACAAACCCTTCAAGCAACTCTAAGAGAGTAAAATCTCTCTTGCCCACCATTCTTTTGGTGGAGGCCTCTCACTAACTTAACACTCCCTCGGCCACCGCGACTAACCCCACCTCACCTCCTCATTCTTTCCTTCCTATTCCTCCCCTCTTTTCTCTGCCACACACCCACTTTTACCCCCAGGCCCCCTTAAGAGTGATTCCTGAAAGAGATTTTTCCCACACTACACTCTTGCAAGTGTCACCACCCCTACATTTATTTACCAGAATTTCTTCGACGCAACAGCAGCTGAAGTCGGCGGATTGTTGCCGTGGAACTACACTCATAACCTCATGTGTTTGCAATAGATATTGAGATCAAGTGAAGATGTTACGGGTGTTATTGAAAAGAAAGAGAGGGCCAACATTGTGTGGAGGACGAACTACTGTACCCCTATGAAACGGGATGCCTTGTTTAGAGCCGCTTCAATAATGTACGATAAGCTTGATAACACGGTGGGAAGTGTAGGCACAATAGCTGTGTATGCTCCGACTGCAACATGGCATGGAGCGATTTTCTTGGACAAGTGGACGCACCCCTGGGTCCCAAAGGCATCGTTAGAAAACTCAGTAGTGGAGTGGTTTGCCCATGCTTTAGCTGAAAGATTTATACACATGTAAACTGGTGGAATCATAATATAGTATTTCCCCCGACGTCCAATATATGCAAGCTACTTTTTCTAAGGGAGGATTTTCCTGCTCACTCACATGTCAAACTCATATACTATAGTCTATTTTGGCTGTAGTGGGGTAGACACTATAGGGTACCACATTTCTAGGGCTTCCTACTTGTACTCACTTGTTTCCTAGTCATTTCATTCCTCGTTCTTTCTCATGGTATAGAGCAGGTTCCCTAGTGGGAATGTTTCCTAGGGCCCACCACGATCGATTTTTTTTTTTCCTGCCCGGAGCGCGTCTCGCTCCTGCCCGAATCGCGCCCCGTGTGCCTGCCCTCCCGTCGCGTCCCCTGCCCTTAGCGGCCCGTCGCGCCCCCCCTTAAAGCCCCTCGCGGCCCCTCTCACGGCCCTTCCCGGCCCCTTCGCGGCTCCCTCGCGGCCCCTCTGCCGCCCTTCGCAGCCCCTCTCACGGCCCTTCGCGGCCCCTTACCGCCCCTCGCGGCCCCTTCGCGGCCCCTCGCGGCCCCTTCACGGCCCCGTCGCCGCCCTTCGCGACCGTGTCGCCGCCCTTCACCGCCCCGTCGCCTCCCTTCACGGCCCCTCGCGGCCCCTTCTCGGCCCCGTCGCTGCCCTTCGCGCTCCCTCACGGCCCCGTCTCGGCCCCGTCGCCGCCCTTCGCGGCCCCTCACGGCCCCTTCTCGGCCCCGTCGCCACCCTTCGCGGCCCCTCACGGCCCCTTCGCGGCACCTTCACCGCCCCTAGCGGCCCCTTCTCGGCTCCTCCGTGGCCCCTTCTCGGCTTCCTCACGGAAATGCCGCCCCGCCGTCGCCGCCCCTGCAGCAGCAGGCGTCACCGCCCCTGCAGCGGGAGCCGCCACCGCCGGTGCCGCCGACAACAGCAGCCGCCGCCGCCGCCGCCACTGCCGGGGCCGCAGCCGCCGACAGCAGCAGCCGCAGCCGCCGACAGTAGCAGCCGCCGCCGCCACAGCCGGGGCCGCAGCGCCGACAGCAGTAGCCGCTGCCGCCACTGCCGGGGCCGCAGCCGCCGACTGCAGCTGCCGCCGCCGCCGACAGCAGGGGCCGCCGCCGCCGTCCCGGCCCTGCCCTGCCGGCGCGCCTCGGCCCTGCCCCACCACTTGCGGACCTCTACCCACCTGCCCTGGTAAGAGCACCGCCGAGCCGCGCCCCTACTGTTGCTACTGCTGCTGCTGCCCCTAGCCTGCTGCCACTGCTGTTATGGCTACCCCTAGCGTTCTCGTCTTTGATGCTGAGGGTAGGGCTGTTGACTTTGAGGTCTGGGTCGATGATCTACAGCTTTTCCTACAGTGCGATAGGAAAGACGGTCTCTCACTATTCGATCTCACGTCTGGCGCCTCTGCTGCCCCTGCTGCCGATGCTGACAGCACTGTTCGCTCAAAGTGGGCCACACGCGATGCTGCTGCCCGTCTTGCTGTGCGTAGTCACTTGCTGTCCACTGAGCGCGCGCACTTTAGTCAATACAAGAGTGCTAAGACCTAGTACGACGCTGTAATTGCACGCTACTCTTCCCCTGCCACTGCTGCCCTTAGCCGCCTCATGCTGCCGTACCTGTTCCCTGACCTCGCCGCCTTTCCCACAGTCGCTGACCTCATTACGCACCTTCGCACTAGTGACACCCGCTACCGCGCTGCGCTTCCTTCTGAGTTCTGCGCCAAGATCCCCCCCCCCATGTATATCACCCTCTACTACATAGTCACCCGGCTCCCTGACTCCCTTCGCTCGGTCAGGGACCACTTCCTCTCTGTTTGCCCCACCACACTCACCGTTGACCTCCTCGAGGAGCGCCTCCTGGCAGCTGAGAAGAGCATAGTCGCTGTAGGAGCCTCTAGAGGTGACCCGCATGCCCCTGTCTTTGAGGGGTGCCCCCCCTCCCCCCTTTTGCCCTCTGTTGCCTCTGCTGCTGCCGTCGACTTCGTTGGCACCGAGTCGGTCGCCGCTGCGTCTGCCCCTAGCGGGCGACGCCGCACCGGCAAGGGCAAGGGGGGCAAGGGCGCTGGAGGGGCTGGCGGGGGCGGTGGAGGTGGCGGTGGAGGCGGCGGAGGGAGTGGGGATGGCGGTGGGAGTGGTGGCGGGGGTGGGGGCTTCGGTGGCGGCGGTGGAGGCGGAGGCGGCGGCGGCGGTGGCGGTGGGAGCGGAGGAGGAGGCGGTGGCGGCGGTGGCGGAGGTGGCGGCGGCGGAGGTGGAGCTGGTCGGGGTGGCCCTGCGCAGCGGAGCGGCTTCGGTGGTGGTCAGCGCTAGCAGTAGCAGCGCACTCCTGAGACCCCGTCCCCCCAGCAGCTTCGTGAGTGGTACGCTGCGTGCCAGCGAGGTGGGGGTGCTGGTCATTGTGCCTACGTCCTGCGTAACGGCAACCGCACTGGTGAGCCGTGCGGTGGCCCGCACACCACCCAGCGTTGCTTCGGCCGCCTGACGGACGCTTGGCGTCTCCAGTTCCTTGACTCCACTGAGATCCCCCGCTTGGGCGAGCTGCTTATGTCGGGGGTTGCTATCTTTGATATGGATTATGATGCCATTCTTGCTGCCATGTATGTTGTGTCTACTAGTGATGAGGGTGACTGTTACCTGTGTGTTCCGCCTGACCCGGGCATTGAGGCTGCTGCTCTAGGTGCTGGTGAGGCTGCTGCTCTAGGTGCTAGTGCGTCTGCTGCCCCCAGGTACTGGTGCGTCTGCTCTCTGTGGTACCACGTCCGCTCAGGCCTTACACACCTTCACCCTTTACTCGGGTGCTTCCCGCTCCTTCTTTCGAGACCGCACCACGCTCACGCCACTTAGTCGACCAGTTGCGGTCTCCCAGGCGGACCCCTCTGGGGGTCCTGTCCTTGCCCACTTCTCCACTGTCTTACCGTGTCCGCCAGCCCCCTCTGGCACCCTATCAGGTCTCTACCTCCCCTCGTTCTCTACGAACTTGGTGAGTGGTGCTGATCTACAGGATGGAGGGGTTGACCAGTTCACTCCTGCGAGTCTGCGGGTGACCCACTGTACGTGGGCTCGGACGGGCCGACACTTGGCCACGTTTACCCGTCAGCCGGGCTCGAGCCGGTATGCACTGACTACTGAGTCTCCTCTGGTTGCTGAGTCTGGTCAGGTAGCTGCGTCGGGTCAGGTGTTCGCTGCAGCGTCCAGGTCTAGTCCTGAGTCTGCTCCCTGCTCGTGTCGTCTCCTGTCCCACCTGACTCTCCTCTGGCCTCACCGCCTTGGTCACCCCTCCCTACCTCGTCTCCGAGGCATGGCCTCCCGTTACCTTGTCTCTGGTCTCCCCCGGTCCCTCCCTCCCCTCCCTCCGGGGCCTGCCCCTACCTGCGTTCCCTGCGTCGAGGGGCGGCAGCGCGCCGCTCCTCACTTCTCCAAGTTTCCTCTGACACAGGCTCCGCTGCAGACTCTTCACATGGAGGTGTGGTGCCTCGCCCGCGTCCGTGGCCAGGGTCACGAGCGTTACTTCCTGTTGGTGGTTGACGACTATTCGCGTTACACCACGGTGTTGCCCTTGCGCAGCAAGGGTGACGTCACTGAGGTGTTGATTGACTGGATCCGTGCAGCTCGTCTCCAGCTCCGAGAGAGTTTCGGCTCAGACTTTCCTGTTCTACGTCTGCACTCTGACAGAGGTAGAGAGTTTTCCTCTGGCTTTCTGGGAGCCTTCTGTCGTGCACAAGGCATCCGCCAGACGTTCACCCTTCCGGCCTCTCCACAACAAAATGGGATTGCTGAGCGCCGCATTGGCATGGTCATGGACGTCGCTCGTACGTCCATGATCCATGCGGCTGCTTCCCATTTCCTTTGGCCGTTTGCGGTTCGGTACGCGGCGCATCAGATCAACCTTCCACTGCTCCTCTGCGTGTCCCGTTGTCGTCTCCTCCAGAGTCCTCTCTTCCTGTTCTTGCTGACCCGGAGTCTGACTCTCTTTGTGCTGCCAGTCCTACTGTCACGCGTCTCTTGGCTACTGTTGTCACTGACCCTTCCTTTGAGTCCACTGCTGCGTCTGCATTAGTTGCCGAGCTTGTCGACTTTGCTGCTCGCTGTCGTCTAGACTACGCCGCTAGTCTTGTTGCTGAGTCCGAGTCTGTCTGTCCTCCGTCCGTCGGGGGTGAGTGTGCTCTTAGCACGGACGTCCTTGAGGACAGGCAGGAGGAGTTCCAGTGTTTTGCTGCTGCTTTGCCTCATCTCGTGTCCATGCTGATTGCCCCTAAGGGAGACCCGGATGCACCAGACATCCCGACTCCTCGATCGTACGCTTAGGCGTTCGAGGGTCCCTACTCCTCTCAGTGGCAGTCAGCCATGGACGCAGAGATGGCTTCCTAGAAGTCCACAGGCACCTACGTCGACGAGGTTCCCCCACCTGGGGCGAACATCGTTAGTGGCATGTGGATTTTCAGGGTGAAGCGGCCGCCGGGTTCTCCGCCTGTCTTCAAGGCGCGTTACGTGGCTCGAGGCTTCAGTCAGCGGCAGGGAGTTGACTACTTTCAGACCTTCTCTCCCACCCCGAAGATGTCCACTCTTCGGGTGCTGCTCCACATAGCCGCTCAGCGCGACTACGAGCTTCACTCTCTTGACTTCAGCACAACTTTCTTGCAAGGCAGTCTGCACGAAGAGATTTGGCTGCGCCGCCCACCTGGCTTCACTGGGTCGTTTCCTCCTGGCATCCAGTGGAGCCTCCGGGGGCCAGTCTACGGTCTCCGCCAGGCGCCCCGTGAGTGGCACGACACACTGAGAACTACACTTGCGGCTCTTGGGTTTGCTCCTTCTACTGCCGACCCGTCGCTGTTTCTGCGCACTGACACCTCTTTGCCGCCGTTCTACATCCTCGTGTACGTCGACGACTTGGTCTTTGCCACTGCTGACACTGCTGGACTCGCCCACGTGAAGTCCGAGCTACAGAAGAGACACACGTGCACAGACCTGGGTGAACTGCGCAGCTACCTTGGCTTGCAGATCACCCGGTACAGAGCACAGCGCACCATTACCCTGACTCAGTCACACATGGTGCAGCAGGTCCTTCAGCGCTTCGGCTTCACGTACTCCTCGCCTCAGGCCACTCCTCTGCCTACTCGCCACTCGCTCTTAGCTCTGCCTTCGGATGAGTCCGTAGAGCCGAGTGGCCCGTACCCAGAGCTTGTTGGTTGCCTCATGTACCTGATGGCCTGCACTCGACCTGACCTCGCATACCCTCTTAGCATCTTGGCACGCTATGTTGCTCCTGGGAGACACCGACCAGAGCACATGGCTGCAGCGAAGAGGGTGTTGCGCTACTTGTGCAGTACGTCGGGCATGGGGCTAGTGCTTGGAGGGCGACGTCGAGTGGTCCTCACAAGTCACGCAGACGCTTCTTGGGCTGACGACCAGGCTACGCAGCGGTCGTCACAGGGTTACACCTTCAGCCTTGGTTCCGGCTCTGTTTCGTGGCGGTCTACCCGTTTGTCTTCTATTCTCGGCTCTAGCTATGAGGCTGAGATCTACGCGGGGGCCATGGCTGCACAGGAGCTACGCTGGCTCACCTACCTGCTGACTATCTAGGAGTGTCGCCTCGTTCTGCTCCAGTTCTGTACGTAGACAACAAGGCCATGCTCGCGGTGTGTCGGGAGCACAGACCGGAGCACAGAACGAAGCACATTGCTCTTCGCTACTTCTTTGCTTGTGAGCTGCAGCAGCGTGGTCAGCTGCGCCTTGCTTACGTGGCCTCTGAGGCCAAGACTGCTGATATCTTTACCAAGGCACTTCCGCCTTGTGATCATCAGCGCTTTTGTATGATGCTAGGTCTTGTGCGTACTTGGCCTCACTTGCTCACTTCTTGACCTTGCTTGTACTGTGATCTATCTATACCTGCACTTGCTTGTTTACCTTTATATATAATATTGCATGTGAACTGGCCTTGTGGCCTTTGAACTTGTGCTCGGAATGTGTGGTGACGGTGTGATCCACCCTGAGCTTGTTGTGCTTTGCTTGACTGGTCTTGTGACCTCTTGTTCTCCCCCACTTTGCCTATGGGGGTGTGTGAAACTCATATACTATAGTCTATCAAGGATGTAGTGGGGTAGAAACTATAGGGTACAACATTTCTAGGGTTTCCTACTTGTAGTCACTTGATTCCTAGTCATTTCATTCCTCGTTCTTTCACATCACACCCACATTTGCGACTTACAGTATCGTGTATCTTGATCGTCTGAGATTGTGCGTCGTTATCGCTTTATCGTGTTATGCACTATAGACCCCCACCACTACATGTGTAGACTCTAGTCTTCCACAGGGCTTACTTTATGAGACATTTTTGGTCTGAATGTCTGGATTCTGAACACATTTTTACTGGTTCATTTGATGTCGTAGACATGCTGTTAAATTTCGTCTGATTTTTAAGAGAATTTTTTTCTATTCATGTGATTTCGCAGACAGCCTTATACAGTTCGTGTGAGACTGCAGATAACGAGTATTTTTCGTTTGAAGGCAAAACTCTCGAAGGATGTTTGCACCCGCCTGGCAGAAGCAGGAGTAAAGACCTGAACCGGAAACCTCAACCTTCACGACTCCCTATTCTACTGGCTGGACCATTAGGGCTGGAACCTGACTTCCCTATTCATATTTTGATAGTATATTGCTTGCTAGCTTTATATCTTCTCAAATATCTCAGACAAGTATTTAAGATTCGTCTGAAAAGCTAGACAATGTTACAGCTTTCGTCTGACAATCAGACAAGGAGCCAGGACCCGGTCTTGACATCAGACGGGTCATTTTACTAAAGTTAGCCTTGGTCTTCCGGCCGTCTCCACCACAGCGGTTTCCCGATTCAAGCGTTGCGCTTCTCGCCCGCAAGTCGTTGTAGCTACGTTGCACTCCTCCCTGCTGTGTGATGCCGAGCTATCCGAGTAGCGCAGAGGCAATTCTAGTTCGGCATGCAGAGCGGCGAATCACTCCTATTTTCCTGGACTTTATTAAGCTTAGGTTCTCCGACGTGGAGCGATGCTAGTGGTAGTGCGCTCCAAAGGTGACGTGACTCACATTGACGTGGGTCCGTGCCTCAGTGCCTACGAAGCATCCCTACCGGTGATAAGACGCCCGGTAATCCTGGGCCCTTATCTTAAAGCACCGGACTTCACGGCGTCGCCACTAGTAATGAGGCGCCGCCGGGCGGAAACGGGAATGCACGCCGGGAGGCATGCCGCATGCCCCAGAGACGAACCCGATCCAGTTTTGCGGCGCCTTAAAACTAGACGCCGCGGGCGGAAACGTAGATGCGCGGGAGGCATCATGCTTCTACCAGAGGCCAACCAGTGCCTCACAGCTTCCGCAGACGGAACGCAGGGGGGGACTCAGGGCAGAAAACCACGGCGCGGTGAAAGACTGCGCACAGTTCCCCGCTACTACTTCACCGTGATGAACACGCCATGGCCCTTCACCCCCGGGTGAAGGAACCTCAGCTTACCGACTGTTGCTTTACTACTTAAACTCGGTCGTATAGCAGCAACTGTCATTTACTAACTTTCCCAACTTGTAACCTCCTTTGGCCCAGTGGGATTGCATACGTCGCGTCACGTTCTTCCCGCGGTACTGCTGCAATGGCTCGCCTCGACACTCCCCGCATTTCCCTCATGGCTTCTGCCGCGGCGCTCCTGCTCCTCGCAACCGCCGCTCTGCCGGCCGCGCTCTCTGCGGGCAATTCTGCCGCGTCGATCTCCGTGGATTCGACGGACATGATGGCGGCTGCCTCGAACCGTCGGTTTCTGCAAGCCGCGCCCGCAACAGCACTCGCACCCGCACCCGCGCCCTCGGCACCCGCGCCAGCACCCGTCGCCGACGCGCCATTGTCTTTCGACGCGCTGTCTTCCCCGGCGCCACCACTTCAGCGGTTGAAGCTCGCATCGAACATTAAAAGCCAACGTCTCCAAGTCGATCAACCTCCTTAACTACCTCGCGTACACGGCGTGCCAATCCCCGACCGGGAAGACCATGTTCCTCCCGTCGAACAATGCATGGAGGAACGCGTTCAAAGGGTACAAGAAGAACCGCAGCAGCGACGGGCTCTACGACGCTCTTGACGTCGTCGCGAACAGCGATAAGCTCAAGAATCCGGATAATTGGGACCGGCTCACTGATTACGCATCAGTGCTTGACAAGTCGAAGGGATGCAAGTCGATTATTGTCGGCGGACCGATCAGCGAGGCCGAGAGATCTGCGGTGTATAGCCTGCTGACTTTCCACACGGCTGATATTACGGTTAATATGGAAGATTTGGATAGCAAGGTACGATTCATGCCGCGCGACTTTTGAGTCGACTCAGAAGTCAGTTTTGCTGACTTTCCACATGGCCGATTTCACATTTTATGGACTCTTCACTTTTTTCCCCTTTCAATAGCACTCTGCTGCTACCGCCAGCACTTCCGTTCGCTACGCTATGCCTTGCCCCCTACTCCTACCTGGCTCATTTCTTTCGCACGCTACCTTGCCTCTCCCTCCTTGCCCTAATCACGTTGGTCGGCAGTGCGACGCGACTGGCTACACCTTCAAGACCCTAATCAACGGCCAAAAATTGAACTTCAAGTGCTGAGAAAGTTAGAACGAGAATGAGATGACTATGGAATGAGAGTGATACAAATATGCAACCCTAGAAATGTGTACCCCATGTGGGCTACCCCACTAAAGCCTAGATAACATTATAATTTGACACACCCCCATAGGCAAAGCGGGGGAGAACAAGGGGTCACAAGACCAGTCAAGCAAAGCAAAGCAAAGCTCAGGGTGGATCACAAAGTCACCACACATTCCGAGCACAAGTTCAAGGCCAGAAGGCCAGTTCACATGCAGGAGCACATATATGTATATATGTATATATATATATAAGAGGCTAAGCAAGCAAGAGCAGGAGTATATATATGTGACAGTACAAGCAAGGTCAAGA